TGCTTCATTGCCTTGTGGGGAGGATGGACAACCATTCTATATACAGTTTTTATGTGTATTATTTTTTATGCTGTAATTTTTCATTGAGTAAGTATCTATTTTTCTACGATTTAAAAAATTGCTCTCCTGGAATAACTACGACAAAAACTTATAAAAATCTGTAGAACTGTTTTTGAATAACTACATTCTTTGTTTACGACATCAAATTTGCTTTAATGTATATAACGTTAAATTCACAATTTTTTAGTAGTTTACTCTGGCTATCATGTTTCTTATTTGAAGAACAGATCTGAGCAAGGTGTGTTTTGATAAAAATTGATCGTACTCGGAGCATGCTCTTGAGTATCGAATATGTTGGGAGATGTAAACATCATATGCAGGTGCATATATTTTTCATACATAGAACATGCTCTTACGTATCTAATCAACTGGGAGACATAAACTCCATATGCAGGTGATAGTGGTATAAGGGAAGCTGTTTCTAAGAAATTGAAGTCATCACGTTTATCATAAAGTTTTTTTGTTAGTTTGCCATTAATGTTTCTCTTGTAAAACATCAAAATATGATAAAGATTTGTTAGACTACGTGGTGTCTTTTATTTCGAGTTCAGTGGAATAAATCAACGTAGGTATGAAAATAATATTATTAATTGATAAAACGTCGTCGATATATGTTGGTGTACAGTACTCCTGGAGTTTCTCCTTGCTGGTGTTTATATTTTTAATATTATTAAAATTCTGTTTCTGACTTGAACTTTTATATAGAAGCTGTGGCAGGCATAATCTCTGAATTTTTCCAATCTCTCTATGATGAAAGTCTTTCATACCATAAACTAAAATCAGGCAAAAATTGTTTGCTATGTGCCATGGTTACGATGGCAACATGCCATAAAGATTGGATAAATGGCTTTTTGAAAATGTTCAGAGTCCATACCGCTATTAACGTTTGCAGCAATGCAAACAATTGGCATTGACTATTCCCAAAAGTTAATGGTCTGATGTCTTAAACGCATTTTATTGGTTGGCAATGGTTATCAATGTCTAAAGGCACTGTTGTGGTCCTAATTTTCACATCAAAAATTTCAAATTAAATTCTTTAAATAGAACTTTGCTATGGAAATTATAGGAAAAATATGCATAAAAGCTTAAGAAAATTGTTTTCTTGGGTACGCACCCTTGTATGAAGATTCTCAATAATTTTATGTTTGGTATTTATGAACAACTAACCTGACTTTCAATTTTGACTACCACACACTCTCTAACTGGATGCCAAAAGCTACCACATAGTGTTTAATATTGCTATAAAGTTAACAAAATCGAACATTTTTCCTTCTTGGTAACCATAGCAAGTGTTATTTTCTTCATCAAACTTTTTCAATATATAATATTCAACTTAAGTTCTATCAAATAAGTACAATTCAAGGTGAGTCAAATAATACGTTTCTTGATTTTAAAAAAGTAACTAATTTCCTTAAGCAGCAAAAAATATCACTTTAAAGTAAACCACTGGAACGTTGTCTCTATGGTTATACTGCAAAGTAGCAATTAATCCCATTTTTTTTTATGCTATCTGTGTTACAAGGTCCTAACAATGTATATTTGCCAGTCTTGAATTTCCATGTTTTCCTCGAGATAGCAACATTAACCAAAACTTAGCAACAAATTTTGTATGGCTTCACTGTGCTACCAGGGCTACCATAAAAGTTAGTTTTAGAAAAAAATTGCTTATACCTAATTATTTAAGGTCAATATTTTTATTGGTTTTCTTGTGTTGTGGATTGAGTTTGTTCGTGTAACACTGCTTTCATTAGTGAATATTGAGCGTTTTTCAGCATTTTTCAGCATTTAAAATGTATTCCAAATGTACTCATGGTTACCACTTACTTAGAAATATATTCTAAAATGTTTCTTTGTATCATAAGTGGCAACAAGATGTCATGTTTTGTGAGAATAGTTTGTTTGATTTTCTAGTCTTCATTAAGGCTTAATAAAGATTCAAAGTAGTTGAAAATCTCAATTTTTAAAACTTTTCCGTCTGTTACCATGGCATCGATTTTAATATATGTTTCTGGTGTCAAGTTGTAATAATGGGCAATAGTTCGTCAAAATCGGTGATCATGCGTGGCAAAAAATTAAAGTGGTCACAGAGAATAGCTCTTATATGTTCTTAATAAAAGTAAATTTTGAGAACTTTGTTCAAACTTGCGTCTTTCGTTCATGGGCAAGTGAGAATCAATAAAGGCAGCGAGCCTGGTAAAAGACACAAATGTTGGATTTTCTTCCTTCACTTTTGTTAGGATGTGTCCTGCTATAACTTATACAAGGAAAAACAGAAATTATAAAACTTTGCGGAAGTGTGCGCTCATTAAGGGCCCTCTATTTCCTCACTCTAAACACGCTTATCTAATTTGTTAAATGTAATTTTTAAATGTTTCATTAGTTGTCAATTGCAGTCGGTATCAGTGTGTTTCTCAAGTGGGTTTTTATACTTAGGCACCATACAGATTCAAATAGTATTTTGAAATTTTAAGTATTTACATAGTAAAATATTAAACTTTGAGTTGTAGGCCTTCATATATTAGCGTATCTCTTAATGATAAAAAACCATTTGGGCAATATTTCCAATAATTTCCATGTTATAGTCTGTTTTGGTCATTTTTTAAGTAATTGTATGTTTTTTTTATTATTAGTATAATTGTGTAACAAAAACCTATTTTAGTAAAGCACGCAAAAAAAAAAAACTTTTTGTTACTAGTATATATTTACATGTTTAATTAATTACGATTAAACTAAAACTGTGGAACCTTATCACAATTATCTAATGTACGAATTTTTTTCTTCTCATTCCTAGAATAAAATTCATCATAAAAATTAATGTTACTGTAACTGAAGTCAATTTTTCATCCATCTGATGATTTTTGTGTCAAACGTAATATTTGTACTATTTTTTTCAAAATATTCCGATGTGTTACGTATTATTTTTATTATGGGGGGGGGGCTTTTTCTGTTTAAATGCCCAGTATGATTCGGTTGAAAACAAGATTTTTAGAACAATTGTATTAATTATTTGATTGAATTTAATTTATTTAATTGATTTAATTATTTTTACTAAGCTATGCTTCATGATGATTAAGTATATGAGTTGATACACGTTTCAGGACTTAAATCTAGGTAAATCATTTTAGTAAATAAGCAATCTGGTCTATTACCATATCTAAAAGACAAGAATTTACCTCGGAAAATTCATCGGTACACTTGACTTTTAACTATAATCAAACTAATGCAATGATTATTAAGGAAATAAAAATTTTATGAATTAAACATCTTTAAACCTCTTTATAGGCACGAGTCCGATCCTTCAAATTCAGGCCCAGCCATCAACAGTAGACATTGGGCAGGATGATTTTTTGATTGTCTGTTCAATTGTCAATCCTAGTCAACTGATTTCTATCTCTACCATTCAACTGCACAAGAACGTTAATGCTACCCCAAGTAACTCTCTACAGAATGTTGTCTCCGTCAGTCTTAGCAATGGACAACAAACGATTATTTGGCAGGACAGTTCATTACAAGAAAGAGCTACAGCTATAGGGACGCTCAGTCCCCCGTCCACAGCACATTTACAGTTTAACATCAGTAAGAATAATGTACAATGTCCAGAAGATTTTACAGGATATAAGTGCAGTATGACAGGACTTGTATATTTCTCAAGACGTTCTCAAACGATAAATCAGATGACAAATGAGATGATTGTTTCATTTACAGGTATTATCCGTTTTGTGACTTGTGATTCATTTGAGCTTTGTTAAATTTATACTTTGGTACATCAATTATTTTGTAATAAATCACATAAACAGCTTTTCCCTATTCCTTCATTAACGGAAACACGTTTGCTACATATTCTTTCATATCCGTGGTAACGAAATCAGATAATCGCAGGTTTCTTACGACACCTATTCCTTTCCTTAATTCTTTTTACAAATAAATGTCACAATTTCTTGTTTAAAACAGCTGGCAACTGTAAAAATAATATTCAAAAAACATTTATAGAATAGTTTTCAAGAACCTTTTTGTTTTATCTGTTCAGTCCAGCCTGCAGTAATAGAAATTCCAAGAGTATGGATCTTTGGTAGTCGAGCTGATACAACAAAACGCCAGTTTGAGGAAGGAACTGTCCTGCAGTTAGAGTGTACCGGAGAGATCGGCAGTAATATATCATCAGTTAGTAACATTGCTTTTGTTTGTAAGTTTAAAAGGCAAGAGGCTTATGGTTCACAACACTTACATGGGTCATGATGCGCGTACTTATGTATATATCAGTACCGAGTATATGAAAATACTTGTTTATTAGAATGACGAAATATATATTTCTTCTTTGGAAATGCATTTATGAAAGTTGTGCCCTTTTTATCCTGTAAAGGGTGGCTTTACATTCAGAATCAGGCTAATAAAATAAATCACATCATGGTTTTCCTTATTTCGTAAGTTCAATGGTCGATATAATGACCTTGTTAGCAAATATAATCTATCGTTAAGTCGAATGTTGAATAATGTTTTTCATACAAATTGTTAGGCCATTATTTTCACACTGAATTGTCTACAGAATAGGACTACCATATACTCTTTTTTTCCCTTCAATTCCTTACATAAATTTTGTTAACTTCGAATGCTTTGAAAGTACGAGACATTGGCGACTTGTTTGTTTATAATTATACAATTACAGACGATTAGATGGTGTGCTAAGAGTGCCTCTGCTTCTACCTATAAAGAATTTCCACAAACACCTGTTCATTCCACAACTTCACAATCGGGTTGTCAGTACACAGGGTCCTCTACAATCACATACAACCTTACCTGTAGTGACACATTTACACAGTTTCTGTGTGAATCTGGATATGACAGTCACTGTGGAAGTGGAGCAGCGAGACAATACCTTAACATCTCAACAGGTAAGCAGCAGGCATGTAGATGATCACCGGAATGTGGATACAACAGACCCTATGGAAGCGGACCAGCGAGACAATACCTCAACATCTCAACAGGTAAGCAGCAGGTATGTAGATGATCACCGGAATGTGGATACAACAGACCCTATGGAAGCGGACCAGCGAGACAATACCTCAACATCTCAACAGGTAAGCAGCAGGTATGTAGATGATTGCAGGAATGTGGATATGACAGACCCAGTGTAAGTAGAACAGTGAGACAATACCTGAACAGGTAAGCAGCAGGTATGTAGATGATTGCAGGAAAATTAAAACAAAGCCAACAACTAAAAACAAAGAAAGAAAGAAATGATCAGTAGAGGTAAAGAGATGAAAAAGTGGTTAATCCAAAAATATTTTTTTCACATACATACTACATGTGTGTATCTTGTATAATTTTGTATTGTTTTTACATTATATTCAAAGGAATTTTCCAGATTATTTCATGTATTGTTGCACTGCTACGATTGAAATAGTCACACAAGAAATGAAATTCTTTTGTAGTTGTTTCTAATGAAGAAAACAATAAAGGTAATACTTATTCAAATACATAAGTAACTTATAGTATCTCAGCACAGTTAAATTAAATTTTCTATAAAATACATAAGAATTATAGGCACTTGGTATAAAGGGTCTCTTTCTAACAAATATGGAAACAAATTATTCAGAAATGCCAGAACTGAGAACTGTCAATTAAGTTTCAATGACGCGTATTTCGATGTACCACTATTCTTTTTACAATAAATAAGAATACAAATTTCCGTGTCACCTTGTATTATTTATTTAAAGAGGCTGGGGGGTTGTGGCCATTTTTAGACTATATTGATCTCCTTTAGAAGAAGAGCTCCATATGAAGATATAGAAAATGATCAAATTTTAAAACTAAAATTTTTGAAATTTTTCTTTGCCAAATGATAGTTTACAGCTTAAGATATCATATCTAAAAAATTAAGTTAAATCTGGTGGTTAATTTGTGGTTAATTTGTTGACCCCCCAGCCTCCTTAAACAGTGAATACTGTGATAATTATAGAATTTATTATACATTTTGAATATATATATATATATATATATATATATATATATATATATCTATATATCATATTGTATCATATTGTATATTATATTGTACATATTTTATATATATATATATATATATATATATATATATATATATATATATATATATATATATTAGAATTATCAAAAAAATCCCAAACACAGAACTTCGGAAAGTAAATAGAAAGAATGAACCCGGAAATATACAAACCGAAATTCCATTTGTTATCACTCATAATCCAAAAAAACATAACATCTTCAAAACAACGAAAGAGTGTTTGCCAATACTTCTATAATCAAAAAATCTGAACGACCTTATTAAGGAGAAGGATTTAATTTATAGTAGAAGGCAGCCACCAAATTTGAAGAAAATCCTCACAAAAGCCAAATTCACTTCTTCAAAAGAAACATTTATGGTTTCCAAATGTGACGATCCTCGCTGTGGAACTTGCGATTTCCTACAAATCGGAAAATCAATCACATTCAAAAACGGAATGAATTTTAAAGTTCAACATAACATGAACTGTAAATCAAAGAACGTCATATATTGCATGACCTGCAGTGGTTGCGGCGAACATTACATTGGACAAACAGGAAATAAAATATCGGACCGTGTAAGAGTACATACAGGGATGGGGTCAATTACTTTAAAAAGTAATTAATTAAATTACAATTACTTTCACTTTTTCTTCAATTAAATTACAATTAAATTACAGGCTTTCTAAGATGTGTAATTAATTAAATTACAATTACTTTGCAAAAGTAATTAATTAAATTACAAATTACATTTTTCATTTTTTTGAAAATTTCTATAATCCTTGTCAATGAATATATAGAACATCTTTCATCTGTATATAAGCTCAGCCTCTGCACAAACAATACAAGAAATAATAAGCTATATAAGCATTGTGTATTTTGTGGTTTAATTTATAATTTTTATTTACTAAACGTTAAAGAACTATCTGAGATCAGTTTGATGCGCAAAAGCTACATGTACATAAATTGCACGGCTAATGATATTTGATTAAAAGTGGGTATTTTAATAGAGTAAAATGAGTCGCAACTGTAACCCCTCTAATAATAAATATTTCCTTTGAAAGTAACCTGAACATCCTAAATTGCTATTTATGGTGAACATTTTTACTTCAAACATAATAATAGTACAGAACATAACTTTTTCAGATACAAAATTTATTCATTAAAAATCTCTTTAGATGTTAAAATAATTATCAAATTGAAAGATTTTCTTTTCTAAAGCTAGCAGGGCATTTTTAATTGAAATAATTATCACCATTGGCTTTGTCTTCTAAATCATGGAATGAATACCTCTTTAGAGGGGTTGATTTGTTTTGATTGCAATTTACAGCTGTGATTTGGAGGGCAATTATATCTCTTTCAACAAGAGAGAACTTAATTAATGACACACACAATCTTTTTCTTTATTATTGACCAACAACAAGATTGAAATATAATAAATGTGTGTTTCATGACTGAAAAGTTGGCCTAAAAAGGGTGGTACAAAATATTGATAAACATAAACTAAAAAATTCAATTTTACATAATGATTAGAAAGAAACTAGATTATTATTATGAAGTCCATCATTTATTTGCTCATAAACATTAACTTAAGATTTTGTATAATTGAAGAATTGAGAATATGTTTCACAGTAAAATAAAAGACAGTAAAATGGGGAGGTAGTGGTGACAATATATCATGAATGTGTATTATATAAAGTAATTGAATGTAATTGGAAAAGTAATTATACCCCCCGCAAACGAAGTTTAGGGGGGGGGTATATTTGAATCATCTTGTCCGTCTGTCTGTCTGTCCGTCTGTCTGTAGACGAGATTTTGTCCGTACCATTTCTTGGAAACTGTTGCAAGGATTTGTCTGAAAATGTATACTTATTATTCGCAATATGAAGGTGTGCACCTGGTATTTTCATCATGATTGGATAATATTTTTGCATTTTACAGGCGTTTTTTCATTTTTATTATGTGGTTTTGTCCGGATCTGTTCCCCGAGACTATTGCATAGATTTGTATGAAAATTTGTACACTTATTATTTACCATATGAAGATGTGCACCTGATATTTTCAACATTATTTGGTTATTTTTCTGCACTTTACAGGTGTTTTTTTTTTTTTTCATTTTTATTGACTTAGTCATTTCGGGTTCATGTCTAAGGTTTGAGACATAGAATCTAGAACATCTGTACAAAAATGTGAACTACAGCTTAAAACTACTAATTAGAACTAAAAAAAATCACAAAGTATTAAAAACAGTTTTTACATTACACAGCAGATAGTGTAAATCCATTTGTCCCTTGGGAGTAATGAGTGGACATGCATCCAGTTAAAGATTAATTAATGAGTTCAGTGTGGGAAACTGTAAGGGCATCTCTGATCAAGCAGGTCTTATCTATATCTCCTGGGAATTGGGCAGAAAGAAATAAAGATCTCTGTTGTCTAAGTCTCTTAATTGTAATTTATGTCTGTCAAAATACATAGTTACTGGAACCAGCCTTTTATTTTTAAAATGAGTTTGATAAAAAGGTATTAAGATCAATTTGATTTTATATATAATTAATTATGATATTTTTTTTTCCAACAAACAATTTGCAGAGTGTGATGTCTCACAAAGATGACAGATAGTTGCAAACTATTTTTTCAATGTAATAAAAACAATGTAATTATTAGTATTGATGTTTTATTAGGCTGCACCTTAGTTTCATCCATTAAAAAAATATAATGAGTAATTAAATTTTCACTCTAAATGTTTAAGCAAATTGTGAACACTTCTCACATCTAGAAAACATTAGTGATTTGGTACCTTCTCTGAAAAACCCAGCGGGGGGTATTTGTCCCTTTTGGACAGTTCTAGTTGAAATTACATGGTATTTTTATCAGTGTAATTAATTAAATTACAATTACAAGTAATTGAAAAAATGTTAAATTACAAATTACTTCCAATTACTTAAAAAAATGTAATTAATTACGGTCAATTACAATTACTTTTTTCAATTACCCCATCCCTGATATATATATATACAATATAATATACAATATGATACAATATTTTATCCCATGTTTACCCCTTTATCCCGTGGATATGTCTCATTGGATAATTTTTTCATATTCCACAGTTAAGTGCAGTTGTGACGTCACAATGGTTTTTGCGTTAGAGTGATGAAGTAAAATGAAGTGGAGTCCTGTATAAAACAGTGTAAAACATTCGTTGTGAAGTAATAAACATGGGATAAAAAGAATCTCCCATGATTTGTAGTTGGATATGACTTTTATCCAACTCGTTGTGTGTTTTTATCCCCTCGCCAAGGCTTGGGGATAAAAAACACACAACTCGTTGGATAAAAATCATATCCAACTACAAATCATGGGAGATCCTATATTTATAATCTTACTTTTTTTCTCATTTACAGATTCGTCAGAGTGTGATTCTACCATTAATATTCTATCTATTGTCGCATCTCTTATTATTGTCATTATCGGGAGTTTGATCAACATAATTATCTGCAGAAGAAATCGCAGTAAGTATAATGATAAAATTAAAGTTCATTTGACCTGAAGTTAACCTTGGTCCATTTTGTGATGGATGCGATGTGGCTTTTTGAGATTATATTTAAGAAATAAGGTATCATTTTTAAACATCTATCGGGATATAAATACGGGTTGGTCACGAGATCAAATTCCATAAAGCCCGAAGGGCTTTATGGTAAATTTGATCTCGTACCAACCCGTATTAGATGTTTTAAAATGATACCTTATTACTTATATTTACATTTGTGACTTATTCATATTCTATATTTGCCTGATTATAATCTTTAACGCGTGAAACGTTTTATTATTCAAACCCAACGGCACGTGTTTGATCCACTGATTGCGCGTCGACCCTTTATGACGTCACTGAGAAATTACGTCGAACGTTTATGACGCGAGGAACCCGTGTTTATACGGATATAGATACGCGTTGCTTTTAATAGTGTTATATAAAAGAAAACATTTGCAAATGTAAATATCAGATGATTGATGTTGTTGCATGGTGATTGCAATCATAAAGGATTTAATTAAAGGGGGGGGGGGGGCAATGTCAACCACTTATTGTGTGAATTTTCAGTAATTATATTTTCGTCCATTGTCGCAAACCACGGCCAAAATGTACGATCCTCTCCCATTATGGGGAGAGCTATATGCGGACTCCGGACCATTGCTTGAGACGAGAATATTTGTCTGTCAGTTGTAAACGATAATGTACCAATATTGTTATATCATGAATAAATGCAAATATGTCTATCAATGCAATATTTTATCACATATTAACCAGTTTATCCGATGGATATCAGTCATTGAATAATTTAATCATTTCCCAAGTGTTTTAGTTATTATCAATTTCTGAAGTGTTAAATGTATTGATTTTTGTCTTAAATAATTTTTTTAAATTATTTTTATGTTTTTCGAAATGGATTTAAAAATAATTATACATATATCCTTTCTTCTTTGCGATAGAGTATTCTTTACATTTCTTGCAAAATATCATGATGCAAAGAATCAATGTACAAGAGTCAATATTGGTGTCAAATGGCAACCTTCTTTACAATCTGAAAATAAATTCTATACTACAGTATTTACTGCTATCATGGGCAAGCAAAAATAAAGCAAACTTAAATTATGTCCCTTCTGTAAAAATTAAATGAAATATTCCAAGAAAAATTCTAAAAAAAAAAAAAAAAAAAAAAAAAAAAAAATCTAAAATAAAATTGTTTTTCTTACAGAAAACTCCTGCTTTGGAAGGTAAGAACTTCGGTACAACATTTATTTGATAAGGCTGATTTTAACAGAAAGATATTCAATATTGGTCATTCTTTTAAAATATATAAATATACATGTATCACTTTTCCAGCAAATCCTTCGAATCGAACGTGAAGGTTAAAACAGTTCAAGGTAAATTACTAGAACTAGTGTTGAGACTAAGAAGTCATTAAACGGACATCAAGCAGTACATGTATCACATTTTGTTCTCTATATCTAATTCCTTGCATTGAATGATAATCTTTTTTTTTCAGAAATGTTGCCAAATTTTTGTAGAAGTGACAGGTATATTTAATGCAATTTCCTTATTCCATTCTAATCATACACTGATATATTTGAATGGCTTATTTTTTCTGCAAAATTACTTGTCTTTGGCTATCTATTCCCTCATAACTATTAAAAAAGAGATATCTAAACTTTTCCAAGTTAATCCTTTTGACGCCAAAGCGACATAAATGTCGTTTACTGAGTCAACGCCAAACCGCCAAAAATGTCTTTTATAAAGTCAACTTTGTATTAGGGTTCAATAAATCAAAAAACATACAGTGATATATGCAAAAATACAATATACCTGATATGTTCATATTTGTTTACACCAATGCGAAAGAATAAAAATAAATGATCTTTAAAAAAGTGCGAAAGTTCATAATGTACAATACTTTGAAATGCATTTTTTTAAAACTAATTAATTAGTTTTATTTTTACAGATTACCGTACACCGTGCTGGGTCCACTAGAAAAACCAAACACTTATGATGACCTGCATCTCTATGTAGAACCTGTAGTTTTACCTTGAAGCCTTTAAAATCATATACTCAGAAATATCATGTATAACATAGATCTACCCTAATAAAAAAGTGGAAATATCAGGAAAATTAGTTAGTGCCTGTCTTTTCTCCAATCTGTCTTGTTTACATGTTTCAAAAACTTGCAGGTGGATTTCAATGAAACTTTCAGAAAAGGCGTCCTGTAAGATATCAAATAGATCCAGTTTGGGATTGGAATTTTTGCACAAATATTTGAAATTCACATTCCAAAAAGCACACTGAGGCAACTATACAGCTGTATATATAAAACACGTGTATTCTTTTAAAATTAAGGGATAAGGCAATTACTTAACTTGTTTTAAGTTTTATTGTTCGGGAAGAGTAGTAGTGAGTAAACATGCCAAAACAACCGAATCTAGAATGCTGAATGGTTTCATAAAATGATTTTAAAAGGCTGGAGAACGAAAATAGGCACTTTCTGAATGTCTTCCAGTTTATCTTCTACTTGATTTCGATGTTGACTTCAGTATTTGTGTATTCCTTCAATGATTCAGTATTTATGTATTCCTTCGATGATAAGAAGGCCGAGAGCCTTAATTACCTCCAAATCATCTTGAAAAGATATCTGAAAGCGCTATATTATCGACGTTTATGCAGAGGTTTCATTTTTTGAAAAATAAATTTAAGAAAATTGCGTTTAAGTTAGCATATCTTTTATTTTTTCCGACTGATTACAGATTTTCTAACCGATTACCATAGTTCCGACCGAGTAATCGTTAAACCGGTTATAAATTGCCATCCCTAATAGATATACATGTATATATAATTATATATATATATAGAGAGAGAGAGTTTTAAGATACTATGAACATATATTATTTGGTTGGTTGGTTGTTTAACGTCCCTTCGAAAATTTTGCATGTATTGAGACGCCACCACTTGCCGGTGGAGACTGCAAATTTATAGTCTTGTCCCATGATCCCTTGCACTTCGTTACTGGATAACGAAGTGTGCAAGGGATCATGGGACAAGACTAGTGAATTTAGACCTGCCTTTGAGCAGTGAGGGATTTTATCGTGCTAGCATCTACTGCGACACGGACCTCGGTTTATACTGTTTCATTCGAAGGACTGGTCTCCTCGTCCTTTTTATATTGAAGAAGCAATTGTCTATGATGTCAAAAAGCTTATTTTTTAAACATATATTAAAAACCAAGATTTTTGACATTGTAGACAACTGCTTCTTCAATATAAAAGGAAACTTATGAATTTTCATATTTTGTAATTTGTCATCTTATAGTGCTCCTTTTAAGACTACCAGTTTTTATATTCTTATGAAGTAGAATTTATTCAACAAATTCTGCACAAGAAGAAAATTCTTCGTGTGGCCTGCAATTCGACATTGAGATATATATTTCATTCCTACGTTGATTCGATATATCCCTTTGAACTCGAATTAAAAAGACACCACAGAGTCTGGTATATCTGTTTTATATTTAGATATTATACTAGAAAAAGGCATTAATGGAGAACTAACATCAAAACTTTATGATAAACGTGGTGCTTTCAACTTTTCTATCGTCAACCTCCCTTATTTATGTAGCAATATAGTTTCCATTATCACCTGCTTGAGGAATTATATGTCTCCCAGTTGTTTCGATACGCAAGAGCATGTTCTACCTATGAACAATATCTAAAACGAGGCAAGTTATTGACAAACAAACAAAACAAAAAAAAAAGAATATCAACAGTCTCCTTTAAAGGCAAAATTTGGCAAATTCTATGTTCGATACAATGACCTTGTCAGCAATACAATCTATCATTAAGTCGAATGCTGATTGACGTTTTTATGCAAATTGGTAGGCCATTATTTTCATACTGAATTGTCTACAGGTTTTTCCGTTTGCCCGATCATGACAAGGAGCGCACAGCGGATGTGGCCGGTCGACAGGTGATGCTTACTCCTCCATGGCACCTGATCCCACCTCTGATGTTTTTAGAGGTTCGTGTAACAATATTTTTGCTGCTGTCCAAAAATTTATTGATGAAACTTGTAGATTTTAAATTGCTGTATTATTGAACAGAATTTTCGCTTATATCACTTATAAAATTTATATTTTTATGTATTATTTTGCATGACATATTGTTATATATAGGAGAGAAACCAGTAAGTTGTAAGAACTTTTTTCCGATCCTTTTGATTCATTCAATAAAATATGTTCAAAACAAGGTTCGTGTTTGCTCTGCTCCAAATATGTATTGTTTCAATGGACTTTTGAGCTTGATTATTGTTCGTTATCTCCATATTTTATGTACAAAATATTAAAGGTACCCTTGAAATGGCGGGAAAAAAGTAATGTACATGTACAATTCTTAAGAGTTGTACATGAAGGGATAATAAATCTATAGCAGTAAATAAAAAGATGTTGTCATTGTAATAATTGTACATGCACTAATCTTTTATTTAATATTTTAATAAGCACTCGACTTCTGATACCCCACAAACAATAAATCACAAAATAATCAATTTGGACCGGGCATATGAAAAGGAATATGAAAATGCAATTAGAAGATGAAGACGCTCGAGAACTGGAAAATTAAACAAAAGTGTCTGTGTTAAAATTATTAAAAAAAATAATAATAATAATAAGGCATCCTTACACTCAGATATGTCTTAAACATTAGAATCCGACAGCCTAAATGAAGCATATGGCCAACAGCTTACTTATCACAATTAATTAAGAGTACTAGTATTTCGGCTGTATTATAAGAACATGTTACATGTATTTTGTTAGGTATGCAGTAAGCCTCGCCTCGTCACGAGGTCGACTTTATGCACACATCAATCAATCTCTGAGAATTTGATTTTAATTTTGATCTTTTGATCAGATCACCTTTGTTTTTATGTTTATTGTATGCAGCTAAAGGAGGGGTTGTGATTATGTGTCTTTACAATAGTTCCAATATTTCAAAAATAATTTCCTTAAATCCGTGACCATAACCTTAGGTGTGGGGTTTCCTTGGTTTACTAAGAAGATCCTTTCTATAGAAATAGTTTTTTGCATACTGAGTAGTAGATTCAATTTCTGATTGTTTTATCCTCTTTTTACCAAATGGGTTTTGAAATCATTAAAAATAATTTGTAATTCAGCTTGATCGCTAGTATTCCTCATATGTCTAGTATATATTCTCCTTTAATTAGTTTGTTAGGATGCCGTTGTTTTATAACACGTACAGGTTATCGGTGGTCAAGAACAGGGGTTATCCGGTAAAATCTAGGGTGAAAAATAATCATCACAGCGTTCTCAAATTTTCACTACTTTTTAGTATATTTTTTCATCAATATACATAGCAAATTTCAAAACATATTTGTTCAAATAAACGAAATATGAGGTTTTATGTTATGTTTAATACGACGCATGGATGATAATGTGTCTAAAGCAATATAACGTTTCGATCATATTTTTGCCAAAAGAATTTGGACAAGCCGAACTTAAAGTCTTGCACACACACTGGATCCTCTGAAGATTCGAATATTAAGTAAGTTATGGACAGTACTCTCACTACATTCAACTAAATATATAGGCAATCTTTTTTGAAGTTCTGAAGTGCATGATTGCGTCTGTCGCTACAAATGCCAGTGGCTGTCCGTCCATATGTTTTACTCTACCCAGGGACTCGATGAAAAAGCATCCGTTTGTTTATGAAAAGATCTGGTGATATTTTCTTATTTTGGTCTCTTCCGTTATTATAGTGCGTCATTGTCGCCATTTTTCGCGTGTTGTGTTTACCGCTTTCCAATTTCAAATGCTCGGGAAAATGTCGAAAATTAAGCAGATGCTTTTATGACATAATAGATAGTGACTAAAAATATGAATATAAATTTTATCCCAACCTTACCTATTCAATCATGTTATTTCGAAATAATACTATTCTCTGATAAAATCCTGATTCTTTTTTTTTTCGTGCGATGAAGGACCATACCCTGTCCATATTCAAATATACTCAGTAATAAAATCCTTATTTTTGTCTTGATTTTATAAAAAATAAATAAATAAATAATAAATCTAAAAAAAAAAAATGTATTCAAATGTGATAAATATTCATTTGCTGAAAAATTCAGCTTAGTGCACCCATTATTTTTCAATAAAAACGCTTTGTCCACTATTTTAACCGGACAACCCTAGCTCATAGAAGCTAAAATGCTAATTAAAATTTTAATTGTATATGTACAATTATTTCAGTGACAAAATCCTTCATTCACTGATATGAATTTTAATTTCTGTACATGTACAACTCTTAAGAATTGTACATGTACATATTATTTTTTCGAGAAAGGGTAGTTTTTTTTTAATTTTCAACTTCAAGAGATCTACATGTACAAAAACATAAAACTATTGGCCATCGTATCAAACATATTTGGTACGTAAGAGCAAGTTGTGGGTGTGATAATTTTTTTAAACGAGACAGGCTACTGACAAAGAAGTTGATATTACAGGGATTTCTACAATAAAGACATTGTTTCGAAAAACACTTTCCTTAGCCTGTTTAAATTCAACATTTTGACACTTCTGTGGTCGTTATAATGAACTTGTTTGAACTTATTGTTGGGTCTATTTAGAATGACACATTTCATAACAATTGTTAGGCCATTGTTTTTATACTTTTTTTGCTACGGAATATTCCGTTTATCAAATCAATATAAAGGACTCAAAGAGGGTGTTACCAGTCAACAAGGGATGCTTAATTCTCAATTCTCCTTGGCACCCTATCCCACCTCCGGTGTTTCCGGGGGTCCGTGTTATTTTCAAGATTTATGATGTTGATCACTGTTCGTTATCTTCATCTTTTCCCATTTATACCTTTCTGTTATGTTGTGACAATATATTTAAGGAATCACTGTCTAATTTGATGGTTATGCCAGGGCATTAACGACAGTACGTTGGAAACGTAGGATAATCTGCATAACGGGCGAAGCCCGTTGTGCATAAATTATTCCACGTTTCCAACTGCTAGCGCTTCATGAAAAATATACCTACGTGCAAGTCTGTGTGATTTACACACCAATAACTCACACAAAAATTAAAAACATTCCTTATATTTACGTTT